CTTCCTTTTGTCTGAAAAGCTTTTATTCCACACGTGCTCATGGCTGACCGCCTTCTCATCAAGGTCTTCAATTTTAAGATAATTTTTTTTCTGGATGATCTGACCAATGATGAAAATGGTGTGCTGATGTTTTCTACTGTTATTTTGTGAGATTATCTCTCCCTTTATATCAAGTAATATTTTACTCATAAAATTGGATGTTCCAACTTGAGGTATATATATATTTACAATTGCTATATCTTCTTGAATTGATCCCTTGACCATTATAGAGTGACCTCCTTTGTTTCCCTTTTGTCTCAGCTTCTGACTTAACATCTATTTTGTGTTATATAAATGTGCCCCGCGGTGGCTGAGCCCTGCACCCGCGAGCCTGCCCTCCTGCAGCAAGTCAGAGGGTCACCCGGGGCCCAGCCCGGGGAGCTGCAGACAGCATTCAGAACATTTGACTATCATTTACACACCAGGCTTTTGTGCTCCTGCGGTGTTTCAGCCATCGCTCTCAGGTCAGGGCTCAGCTTGCTGGCTGTGGGTTTTAGGTAAGTTTCCTAACTTCTCTCAGTGGCCTGAGCCACAGCGGGGATGAAACAGTAATCAGCACCTTCAGGCACAGGAGCTGATGTGAACACAGATAACACCCAGCACTGAGCAGGGCGGATAGTGGGTGCTCAGGACTCGCTCTTGGAATGAAGGCCTCAAGATCTGGTCATCGCCACCTCTTCTCCTGGACATGGGCTCCTTGAGGGCTAGGGCTGGGTGCTCCTCCTGCCGTTCCCTGAGCTGGGATATGTGTATGACGACCCCTGTGCCCCTTGGCGGACATGAGACGCAATTTTGTCTCAAGGGACTTGAGGGAAGAGCACAGAAAAGGTCAGTGTGTCCAAGTCAGAAGAGAGAGCCCTGGAGTGAAGTGCTCAGGACAGAGGAACAGGTGCATGGGGCTTGGGGCGGGGCCCTGTGACAACCGAGCTGGTCTGGAGAAAGGTTTCATTGGCAAGGTCCTCCTGGTCCTTCGCGGAAAACCCCCAGTAGGTCCATTCACACAGAGGGGTTTTGGAACAGCCCTTGCCCCCGGGTGCTGGCTGCTGTGGGAGCCAGGGCCGAGTGACTTCTCTGAACCTTGGAACCTGCCCCTCCGGCCGCTGGAGGGTGAATGAGAAAGTGTACCGAGAGCGTTTCACCCAAAGCCTGGAACACAGCAGATGTTCGGTAAAAGGCAGCCAGCCCTGTTTATCCTTGCCAGGAAGACAGGACGAGTGTCTAATGCCACTCCTGCCCACCGGGCCACAGCCCTTTGGCTCCAATCCCGACCCTTTGGCCTGGACCACAGGGTTGTTTGGTTTGCCCTCTGGAGGTTGCTGTGTCCTTCCTCTCCTCTGGGAGTCCGTTTGGGTTTTCACCTGCAGTCACTTGCAAACTCTGTGACCTAGGCAGGTGACTTAACCTCTCTGAGCCCCTGTTCCCTCATCAGCAGGACAGGGATGATAATAGGGCTACCTCGAGGTTAAGGATAATATGAATCATGCCCATGAAGGCTCCCATTCACTCATGGAAGTCACCAGCTTCCAGCCTCTATTTTGTTTCAAGTCACAGACCCTGCAGTGCCAGAGTTGGGCTGGGACATGGAGAGAGGACCGGAGACTGAGTAAATCCTGGCCTGCAGGTGCCTGAAGTCTGAATCAGGAGGGGATGAGAACAGCCCCTTGATGAAATTACGATGTAACATCTGCTCTCTATTAATCATGTGGTGACTATCAGGCTGTATAGTGCTGCAGCCTGAGGCCATGGAGCTGGATCCCTGAGTTCAAATCCCAGCTGGTCATTACAAGCCTTGGGCAAGCTGATTCGCCTCTCTGTGTCTCTCTGTTCCATTTATAAAGTGGCAGTGGCGTACGTATCTACCTCATATAGTTGTGAGATTAAATGAGCTGATATTTGTGAAGCCTCCAATATCTGGCACTTGGTAAGAGTTTCTGACTCTTCCACTGTGCCATGGGGAGTCCGAACAATAGCTCAGGAAGCGTTACTTGTCTCCTTCTCTCTTCAGACACATTTTCATGAGCAATCGTCTGTGAGTTTATCTTGCAAATCCTGCCCATCTCCTATTGCATAAAGCATTGAAAAGGATTTGCTATTGATAACTTTCCATCTATAAGTTTTGTTGGGTGTTTTATTATTTTGGTTTTCCCCCCTTTTTTGATGCCAGGAATTGAACTCAGGGCTGGGTGCTTGCTAGACAGGTGCTGCACTGCTGAGATACATCTCAGGCCCAGGTTTTTGTTTGTTTGTTTTGACTCTTTTGGGCGGAGGTGGGGTGGGAGTTGCTGCGGATTGAACTCAGGACCTTGCACTTTCGAGGCAGATGGTGGCACCACTGAGCTAAATCCCAGGCCCAGGGTGTTTAATAAGACCTTTTCTATGCATGAACTCATAGTAATGATTCATGAGCTACCCCTCTTTCTCTCATTCTTATTTTTATGAAAGTATGACATGTACTTAGATGAAAGAGGCAAATTGTTCTACAAAGCTTATTATTTGAAAAAAAAGCTCTCATCTTTTTCTATTTCTCCACAGCCGTAGGTTTCTACTGGGGTATAGATGCCGCGGGGGCACTTGGCAGTGTCTGAAAACAGACTGCCGTGACTCAGGAAGGGTGAGAGGGTTGAGACTGGCATCTAGCAGGTCAAACTGGGGCGCTGTTAAGTGTCCCACACTGCACAGGACAACTCCCTGCAGACAAGAACTATCTATAGACCGGAGTCACCGCAGCACAGTTGCCAAGCCCTGCTCTAAAGCATCAGAGGATGCCAAGGCCTAGGGAGCGTGGTGTGGAATGTCGCATGCCCAAGGTCGCTGGGAAATAGCAGACCCAGGACTCAAACCATCGTTCAAAGTGCCCAGTCCAGGAGGCAGAGTGGAATTTGCTTGAATTTATTTGAAAAGGTTCCGAGCCATGTGACATGAAGCCTGTCAGCTAATACCACTGAACCTCAGTTTCCTCATTGGTAAAATAGGTCTAACAGTACTTAGTCTCACAGGATTGTTAGGAGGTTTGTGTGACTTGTGCAGTAAGCACTCCCCCCAGTGTCTGACACATGCTATGTCCTAAATAAGGGTTGCCTTTTTGTTTCCATCAGTGTGACAAGAGTCTCTGAAGGGGGTGATGTTTTCTGGGTTGAAGAGTCTGGGAGAATTTCTCAGGGGAGAAGATATTTGGGCTTGGTTTTGAATGTGGACTGTGACTAGGACAGGCAGGGGTAGGGAAGGTTGTTCAGATGGGGCTGCATGGTCCAAGCAGAGGCCAAGAGGAGAGAGACAGGCAGTGGACCCGGGACCTATGGGCCCCCAGTCTCAGCTGAGTGGAGGAGGGGTGAAAGGAGAGTCGAAAGCTGCTGTTTGGCTCCATACCATGGCCGTGACATCCCACACACACCCTCCAGGAGTCCCGCAAACCTGCTTACAAAGGCACATGGCCCTCCGGCCATCAGGGCCAGCTCCGAGCTGGCAGGCCAGGGCCTGGCTGGGGTCACAGACGTGGAGATGGTCGCAGGGCTCTCCCAGCCGCCGTGCACAGACCCTGCAGCAGCCACAACCATCCAGCACCAGGGGAACCCCGAACGGGCATCGGGGTGGTGGCCAGGGGCAGGCACACGGTGTCGGGCACAGCTGGGCACACACCTGCAGAAACAGAGCCCTCACTCAGCCATGGGCTTTCGAGGTAGGCAGTGGGGCCCCCCTAGCTCTGCCAGGGTGTGCAGTGTGGGCTCCACATCTCGGCCTCAGAGTCGTGCAGATCTGGCCTTGAACCCTGGCTGTCCTGTGGTGCTCCCCAGGCAGTGTGGGGATGTGGCCAGGAGCAAGGACTCTGGACCAGAGTTTCAGTCCTGGCTGTGCCCCTTAATGGCTGGTTTACCTAGGACATGGTACCTATGCTGGCTGAACCTGGGTTTCCTCATCTGTGACAGGAAACCAAGCAGAGGACCTCAGAGAACTCACATAATGATGCATGTCAGACCCTTAGTACATGGCCCAGCAGCAGGAGGTGCTCGGGGCATTGAGCTCTGATGACTGTCCTCATTAAGGGTCCTACCCTCTCAGGGGTCCAGGAAAGCAAGAGCAACAACCCAAGGACTAGAAGGGCAGTATTCATGGTATGTTTCCCAGCGTACAGTTCCTTATCCCATGGGCTGAGTAAATCAAACCATACTACAGTTGTTCTTGGTCTTTGGAAGAATGCAAATGTGTTTCTCAACCCTGAATGCACAGCCAACCAGCCAGAAAATTTGAGAAAAAACAGAATCCTAAGTCCCTCTGGGACTCACCAAAGCAAATCCCAGAGGCTTGTTTTTGTTGTTTTGTTTTGTGGTGCTAGTGATGGAACCCAGGGCCTCCTGCATGCTCGGCAAGTGACCTACATCCCCAGTCCTTTTTTATCCTTCTATTTTGAAACATTTGCCCAGGTTGGTCTTCCATTTACGATCCTCCTACCTCAGCCTTCTGAGTAGCTTCACTTACAGGCATGCACCACTGTATCTAATTGGACTCTGTATTTTTTCTTTCTTTCTGGGGGTTTCTAAAACACAGCTAGGTTTTCAGCACCTCTGCTACCATGTAAGACCTCCCTGCTGCCATGTGCAGATGGCGAAACTCCAGAGAGGGAAAGGCTCTTTCTGACAGCTGGAGGATTAGCTGCAGACCCGGGAGCCGGGCCACATCCCTCTTCCCTGATGAGGATCTCAAGTGCGGGTGGACTTTTCCTTCAAGGTTTCATTTGAAGAAATCCAATTTCCCTTCACCACCCAGGCCAAAAAGCAAGAAACACCAAAACCATAAACCAGATGTCAAGGGTGCCCTGTAAATCCGTTTGAAGGTGGGGACCAAAAGGGGGACATAACTCAAAGATGTTCCCTGTGAGGGGCCAATCTTAAGCAGGATCTTTGGGGGGACCTGAGGGCTTTATCTAGAGGATTGAAGACTCTGGGCTTGGGAAGAGGAACTGATGATCTCGTAGCTCCTGTGAGGCCCAAAGCAGATAATGATCTATTTCTGCTGCTCCCCACTTCGTCCGTCCCCAGCTCCTCTTCCTGCCACTTTCAATTTTCTGCAGCTCCCACCCTGGCCACCAGGGGTCACCCGGTGTTGGCTGACCAGCCTCTCCAGGGGCAACAGAGAAGGTCCCTGGAACTCCCACCAAGGACAGCACTCTGAGGAAGGAATTTCAGCCCACCTCACCCCCAAGGTGTAATCTGGACTGATGCATGGAGTCCCCCAGAAGCTTGTTAGGAACGCAGTACCTGGGGACCTTCTTTATAACCTGAGTGCATTTTAATAAACTCAGAGGTGCAGCACACGTAACTAACCCAGGAAGCAATATGCTGGGCTTCTTCTCTTCCAAAGCAGAGGCTCCAGCTCCCTTGGTCATGAGCAGTGAGGCCTCTGACCAGAAGAGTCTCAGGTCCCTTCCCCCTGAAAACTGGGGTGCCAAAAAATAGGCCTGCTGAACATCTGAGCCCCTCTGTGAGCTTGCTCTACCTGGCTGCTGTCTGGCTTCTGCAGACCCTGATACCCAGGAGAACTTAGTAGTGACACAGTGACCATAGCAGACTATGGCCACCTGCTACGGCACATGCATGCTGTGCCTGGACACTTTAAACACATGTGTGACTGGCCCCTCCGTGTGAGGCCCAGCAGCACGTCCATTTCAAAGGTGAGGAGACAGAAGGTCAGAGCCATATAGTGAACAGCTAGGCAGAGGTGGGATGAGGGTCAGAATCCAGGTTCACGAGAAGCCAAGGCTTGAATTCTTGATTCACATGCCCACCCCTTGTCATCTAGAGGCTCCAGTGTCAGCTTAGCTTCTGCCTCAATTTACCTGGTTGTTTACATGGACAACGACGGGTCAGGGAGGGTGGCCTGGTGTAGAAAAGGAAAGATGTACCCTCTCTGGCACCCTACCTCCACACCCTCCCCAGCCACTCTGTCACTACAGTCAAGTGATCCCATCACACCTTGCTGTGGCCACTAGGCCAGGCTTTGTGGGGTAGCACTAGGTATGGAGACTTCTGGGCCCAAGACCCCACAGCCTGCCTGGAAAACTCAGAATTCTCCCTGAAGATGGTTGTGGCTTCGCATGTTTGCCATGACCAAGGCCCTAGGGTTCTGTGAAGGGTGCTCATCAGCTTCCCGGGACTGGGGAAGAACAGTTCGATGGGTTTCCCAGCAGTGAGTTTAGGATGGCTTTATACTTGGCCTTTTGTAATCCCGAACCCCAGGTCCCCTGCTCCAGCTGAACAAGCCACCCACTTGGCCTCATGTCCTTCCCACCCGCAAGGGAGACCAATGAGCAGGCCTGGAATGCAGCAGCAAGAGTCCTCAGCCTTCCTCAGCCATACTTTGCGGGGTCCACAGGAAGAAATGCCTGCCTGTGCCCCTCAAGGGAGCATAAAAAGTCAGCAAGGTCTTGGCTTGTTGGGGACCAATCCCTTGGCTCTGAAAATTCAGCATTTGCTAAGAGGCCAACATAGCTGGGCAGCAGTGTCCTTGGACCATGTTGGGGTGGGGAGATACATACTGGAGTCCCCCAGATACCTCCATATCCGGGACTCCACCATGTCTCTCCTGTATTGTCCTGATAGCTCTTTGCTGTGTGGATTTGGACAAGTTTCTTGCCTTCTCTGAGCTTCATTTAACTGAGACTGGGGTTCATGATTCCCTTTGGGATTGTTATGCACGTTAGGCAAGGTGGATATGTTGCAAGCCCTTTGGAAAATGTCCCTTGCAGCTCTGAGAGAGAAGATCGTTGTTCCACAGTGGCATCTCAGTACCCCCTCCCCAGCCAGGGAGGGAACATGGAGTGCTCACAGCCCAAGCTTTCTAATCACTTCGACAGCAGCCCCCACCTAGACACCAGTCCTGGCTCAGAGGCAGAGAAGTACATTGTGTCTTGGTCTCCTCATTTGTGAGGACACCTGCCCCTGCCTTGTTACAAGGGCTGGGGGACTGGTAAGGGTCATTCAGGGAACATTCGTCATGTCCTGGGCAGTGCTGAACACAGAGGGAGCATCATGAATGATGGCCACAGAGGCCTCAGGAACACTGCGTCCCCTCAACCGAGGCAGGAGTTGTGCTCAGAGAAGAAAGGGGACCCGCCTGAGGCCTCACAACAGAGCCGGCAGCTGTTTGGGACCAGGGAGGGAAGCCGGGCCTGGGCACGGGGCCTGGACTGTGTCCAGCATGGGGCCAGCAGGAGCACTGCTCAGGTTCCTCAGCCGTGACGCCCCACCCCACCCCCACCACACCAAAGAAGGCAGCGGTGCAGCCAGGGCCTGAGGCCCCTTACCTTGGAGAGGATGCAGAGGAAGGAGAAGGCCAGAAGGTGGATCTGTGGTGGGCGCCTCATGTCACCGTGTCCGTGCAGAGTCAGCTTTGAGCCGGGAAGCAGGACCTATGAGTCTTTATGTTTCAGCAGCTGTGAGGTCCCTCCCAGGCATGCACCCCCACACACACAATGACCTCTCTGTGTCTTGCTCCTCTCCCCATCCTCATGACCCGGTGATGAGCCCATTTACCTGAAGGTGAGACAGTGGAAGCCACCATCGGGTGCCTGTCAGTGAGTGTGTGTGCCTGTGTGTGAGTGTGTGTGTGTGTATCTATGAAGCCAGAGCCAATGCCAGCACCAAGAGCCTGCGGCAGGCTGGCAAGGCCCTCTCTAGCTCCTCCCAGCCCAAAGGGCTTCAGCCCACACCACTGCCGGAGCTGCTGCAGCCTTGGCTAGCCGGACCCCTGCCCCACCCCAGGGACTGAGGATACCAGAAGCATCCGCCAAACACCCGTTCGCAGATCTGACTCGAGGTCTCCTAAGCCCTGTGGCCCGGACTCCGGGCAGCCTCGGCCAGGCCTGCGGTTTCTGGCAGGGAGATTGGCAGCTACCCAGAGGTGGGTGTGACCCAGAGCAGAACTTTCCTGGGCAGCTGGTCCGCTCTTGGCAACAAGGGGCCTCCCCAGCCTGCTTCCCCACTGGATGGTGGCCCACAGTGGGTGAACCCAGGACCTGCTGTGTTCCCTGCTTGCTGGGCATGGCCAGGTGATCTGGTCAAACCAGACCCATTTTCTTTAGTTCAGCCAACTCTGAGACCTCTGCAGGGGCTGGGGATGCAGCATTGACCCTGGGACAAAGCCCAGAGGAACAGACATTAATGGCAAAACTGGAGGGGTTCCTGGGGATGCCAAGGAGGGTCCCTCGTTCAGACCAAAAGTGAGGGCCGGCTTTCTGAAGGAGGTGCCATTTCCGAGAGCCGATGAGAGAGCCGGTTAAGGAGGGCGGAAGGTTCCAGGCAGAGTACAAATGCTCGGGCCAAACGCAGGGACAGCTTCACGTAATCAGGGAGCCAATGCGCCTGGCAGGAAAGGAGCTTCCTGGGCAATGGGGTGCACGTGAGCTTGTTTTTTGTTGGTCGTTTTAGAGCCCTCTGTGATATATTTTTACATGGACCATATACAGAGCAGTGCTTACCGGACACTAGTATTACATGCATGGATCCCCAACTCCTCACATACGTGTGACATGATAACATGCACATAACCCACATCATCCCGGCCCAGAGCAAGCAGCATTTCAGAAGAGTCTCAGTGTCCCTTCCAATACCACACCTCTGCCCCCCACCAGGCACCCCTGTTCTGGCCTCTATTGCATTGGCTTATTTTCCCTGGGGTGCGGCACCAGACCGTCTCTCTGTCTCTCTCTCTCTCTCTCTCTCTCTCTCTCTCTCTCTCTCTCTCTCTCTCTCTGAGGCAACACAGAGTGGCTAGGAGGTGGGAGGAGGACACTCAGGTCCTCTGCAGCGGCAGGGCAGTGAGGCCTCGGCTGGCTGAGGGCAGTGGGAGTGGGCTGTGGGCTCTGCAGCAGGTGGCCAGAGGTGAGCTGTGTCCTGTACCTGTGATCCCCTGAGTCAGAGCACGGTTTCCCCTGGACCTTCTCCTTTCTAGTACTGAGGATGGATGTGTGTGGGCAGGGTGTGGGCGGTACAGGCTGTGAGGCCTGGCCAGATCAAGGTGCATGCAGGCCTCGTTCAGGGCAATGAAAGCACCAGTGGTTTTCCTTCCATGCACAGATCGGAGTGAGGGAGGCCATAGCAGGAAGCAGCTCTGCTGGTTGGTTAGCAAGGCTTGGGTCTCCCCAATGCCAAGGTGAGCACCAGAGGAATGTGGGAGTCCAAAGCACCCATGAGCCTTTGGACTGCTGCTACAGCTTCCTCTTCCCCCTGCCCCAAATAAGGCCCCCAAATGAACATGGCTTCCCTTTTGCTTAACCAAAAGAAAAAAGGCTCACAAGTCAGAAGGTCCTGGCTTCAACCGCTAATTCCCCCATGACTTACAGGCCTGGGGACTAGGGTGAGGCAGGAAGGTGCCTCAAGTACAAATTTTAAGGAGGCTGTCAGTATCAAGTGCTTACTGTGTACCTGTTGTGCACAACCTCAAAAGTAGGCCTCTTCTAAGGGTAGGGGAAGGAAATAGGGAAGAGAAAAACTATGAAAAAAGGAAAAAATGGAAACAAAGTCTTTGTAAATAGGGAAGCGGGAAGGGAATGAAAGGAGAGCAGGGGATTGGGGAAAAAATAAGAACCGAGATGCATCATAAAGGTACAAGATCCCAATGATGAATGCAACTCTTATTTATCTTTTTGTTCTATTAGTTTTCCAACTCACTGATTTGTTTTCAAAAACTTTGAGGGGTGAGTACTGGGAATTTAACCTAGGTTTTTGCATTAAGCTACACCTTAGCCTTTTTTAATTTTGAGAGAAAATCTTACTAAGTTATTCAGTTGCCTGGGCTGTGTTCAAACTTATCCTCTTGCCTCAGCCTCCCAGAGTGCTGGGATCACAGCATGCACCACTACACCTGGCCTCCAGTAACTTTTGTATTGCCCGAAGCTCAACTTGAACTGGGACCTTACAGGACAGACTTGTTCCACTTCTTCAGCAAGGTCACATACACAGTGGAAGGCTCACAGAAGGGGCAGCTCCTGCCTGGGACCTGCCCAGGTCTGGGCTCCTACTCTCAAACTACAGGCTCCATCTCTCCAAGACTGGCACCTCCCCAAGGTCCCACCTCTGCCACGACGGAGCTGGGGGGATCATTGCTTGCTCAGCTGACTGCAAATATTTCACCCCAGGCACCCTACGATGTCCTCTGCTTACCACACATTCCCCAGTTTGGGCAGGAATTCAGATGGCTGCTCAGGGCCCTGTGACAGCTCCCCCAGGGACAGCTGTGCGCTTGGACATTTTAACACTTGTCTTCAGTCTGAGCTGGCCAGGATGACTGTACAGGGACACAAATGGTCCCTCCCAACAGCAGATGGAATGTGGCGCTCAGGACATGCGCATGTGACTGTCTCTGTGAAGGCTGCACAGACCGGAAAGAGCCACGTAACCCAGACAATGAAGTGGTCCGTGGTCCTCATGTGAAGGCGAGGGGTTGGGCCAGCACGCGGTGCCAAGCATGCAGCCAGTGAGACACAGATAAGCCTGCCAGGGAGCTAGAGGTCGCGACTGAATGGGGAAACGGCTTCAGAAACTGGCATGAGGGCTCATTTACAGGCCTGGCCTGCCAGGGAAAAGGCTGAGCCTGGCACCTTAGGTGCTAGATTCATATTTGTTTCATGAATAAATAAGTGAGTTGGGAGATCCAGACTCTCATCCCAGCTCTACCGCTAGGCATCCTTGGGCAAATTCCTTAGCCTTACTTGGCCTCAGTTTCTTCATCTGTAAATAGGACAGGAGTGAATTTATCTTCTAAGTTCTCCTAGCTCCAGGGGTCTCTGTTTCTATGCCTATAAGCATTATGGGGCAGCAGCTCTGACTTGGAGAGAGGTGTGAAGGGGAGCCACAGAGTTCCAGGATGATGCCAGAGGCCAGAGCAGCCCCTGTACATACTGGGGTCTGACCGGTTACCAGCGTCCAGGAGACCCCACGGCATTGGACCCACTTAGCCAGGAAGGCCCAGGCATCAGGGCAGGGTGGCTTTACTCTTGGCTAGATCTTCCTCAGAGGAGGCAGATTACAGCCTAGGTTATTTCCTCCTCACTTGGCAGCCCCTCCTTTGGCCAGCAAGCCCAGGCTCCAAAGACTTTTCCCTCGTGGCTGAATCCCTATAGGTGCCCTGTCCATCTTGTACATCTGTCCACCTGTCTATCCATCTGTCCTTCCACCCATCCGTTTGTCCATTAGCTACTGATCCATCTGCCCATCTGTTTGTCCACCTGTCCATGCATTCATGTGGTAAACACCAAATGTAGTGGGCCGTGCCCTGCTATTTAAGAAAAAAAGTGAAAGGTCTGTGTTCACAACAAGCTCACAGAGCAGAGGGCAAGACAGAGGCAACAGGAAGTGGGAGGAAGGTTCTTAGAGGAAGAGAGGAAGGATCTAGTCCAACTCGGGAGATGGAGGAGGTGAATCTTTTGTTTTTTTCCTGGTACCTGGAATCGAACTCAGGACCTTGCACTTGCCCAGCACGGCACCAGGGAGCTAAATCCCCGGCCCTTGAGGAGATGAATCTTGAAGCAAGTGCAGGCACATCCAGGCGACTTTGTGGGAAGGGAGAGAGCAGAGGCCTCTGGGAGCAGGAGAGCAGGAGCGGACTCAGGAGCTGTGCATGGCTGAGTCTGGGTGTAGCATGAGACAGGAGGACTCGGGTGCAATGAAGCTGGGAGGCCCCACACTGGTTGGGGAGCATAGTGCCAAGGGGGTGGGAATGGCGACCAAGGCCTTGGGCTCCTGAGACCAAATGGAGGGGTTGGAAAGCCCTGGCCCCAGCAGCAGAACCTCAGGTAACTCTGTTCACCGCCCAGGCCCGTCTCCAGCTGTGGCATCACAGGCTGCCATTCCGGCGTCTCGGGGCGCTTCTAGTCTTGAGTCACATGTGGTCGGTAAAACCGAGGCCCACATGGACGTCTGGCCAAGCATGAGGAGGGAGTTGATTGTTCCCAGTCTCTGCAAGCATTGCAGGGGGCAGTGAGTGGTTAGGGGGAGCTGGGCTAGGAGCTGTGCAGGGGGCCCCACGTCATGGGACGGTAGTGTGAAGAGAGTACTGACCAGCCAGGGGCTTGGTGCCGAGATCCCCAGAAGAGGTAGGGAGCCCCACCCTGCTCATCACTGACCAAGAGCCACTGTCAGGCCGAGACCCTTTCTTCAGAGCAAAGGCTCATAGCAAATTCTCACATCTAAATCAACCCAAGAAGAGTGGTGTAGAGGAAGCAGGTGGGGGGCCCTCTGCCAGAGCAGTGCAGAAGAACTGGAAGGTTCTTTCAAGCCGTCTTCCCCAACGCCTTCTGGAAAATGACACACGCCTCAGAGGGATGAGGGGAGGATGGTAGGGCACACAGTAAGCCCTCCAACGAGGTAATCCTCTCTAGGCCCTCAGCCTTCCTTCTTGTGCAGAGATGGAAACCCAGTCACCTCAGTGATAGGCCGTGCCTGGGCAAGGCTCAGTCCACGTCCCTGGAGTGCCCCAGGAAGCCGCTCTGCGTCTGGGCTGAGGGGAGACACTTGGCACTGCATACACAGCCCCCCGAAGGGAAGGAAGGCCCTGCCGCGGGAAGGGAGTGGACAGGAAGTGTCCAGCGCCTCAGCCCCCCAGCCCCAGAGAAAACACTTCATTACTGGAAGCCCAGCCAGGCAGAGAGGCGGAAGTGGCCGTGTTAGAGGAAGCCACACAGGGCCAGCCAAACCTCGGCCTCTTGGCCAGTGGCCCACGGACAACCACGCGGGGCTGGCTCACTGGGTGTTTACGGAAATGCCGGTCCTGAGGTCAGCCCAGCTGCTGGGCTGGGATCCCCCAGGGCACCCCTGGCTTCCAAGTGCCAGCTTGGCAGGAGCCATCACAGGCTGCTGCTGTGCCCTGTTT